GGTTCTTTAAAACGTCCTTGTAGGATTTCATTCTGAATACAATTCCAAATGTACACTATAGTCCCTAAACCCCTTTACAGCATTGGGGGTTGAATAATTTTGAACACAACTGTATGTATGTATGTATTAACTGGACCCCTTTACTCTCTCTCACACACACAAACATACTCAAAATTTAATGTTGTCTACTTCTTCTTCCAAGGCTGTGCCAAGACTTTCTCTTCCATTCAAGAGGGGCCGGCAAGATCCTCTCCCAAGGACCCCTTGCCTGAAGTCCCTCTGATTCCCCTTTGCAGCCCCAGCCTCTCTTCTTTCTCCTCCTGGGCCAGGATCCTCCCCCTGCTTCCTCTCTCTGTCCCCTCCCTGTTTATTCCTCCTCCTTCTCTTCCTGCTTGGAATTTCCTGGGACTCTTCATGCAATATTTGGGAGGGGGGGCGGTTGGTTCCGGGGGGGCTCCCCATGTCCCATCCTGTACAGCTTGCTTCGGAGATGATGTTGTTGCTCAAAGTGTGAGACAGACATCCAGGAAGCGTTTTTTAAAGGCTGTGGCAGGGGAGGGGGAGCCTTGGACTTTGAGGTGGGGTGGCTTTTGGGAGGATGTGCGAGGAGACCTCCAGGTTCCTCATCCCCGCAAGTGAGGAGCTCCCAGGCAGAAGCTCAGAGGCGGAGGCCGTCCTTCTGCCACTCTGGCCACCTCCCTTTCCTGGCAGGTCGCCTTTGAGGCCCCTCGGCAGGCAGGCCAGCCCCCGCGTGCCGCCCCCCCCTCTCTTGCCCCCCTGAGGCCTTTGTCAAAGATTTTGATTTCTCTCAGAGAATTCAACCTCTTTCCCCAGAAAGGAGAGAGAGAGAGAGAGAGAGAGAGGTCCATCTCCCCCACCGTCAAAAGCCTCTCGCTTTCTCTCCGGCTGTCTGCGGGCGTCCTCCACCAATCTCTCTTTTGAGCCCCTCCCCCTCCTCCACGCCCCCTGCATCCTGGAAGGCCCGCCCCTGCCCCGCCCACTCCGCTTGCCAGAGTGGGAACAGAGAGGAAACGGGTAGAGCGTCTCCTCGCCCGGAAGAGGAAGCAGGGTGCCTCTCCTTTCTTTGTCTCTCTGTTCAGCTGTAGACGCGCTGGGATACTGGTCTGTCTGGGCGTTTCCTGCCCCTGGAGGACATGGAAGGCGGTGAGCCTTTTGCGGGGGGAGGGGAGGGAGGAAGAGGAGGAGCAGGAGCGGGAGGGGTCGTGGAAGGCTTTGTCTTTGGAGGGGTGGTGTGGGGGGTGCATTTAAAAAAAACCAGCCCCATTTAACGTTCAGTCCCAGTCGCCAGCCTCTGCGCTTGCCATGCTTTGAACGCGGTGGTTTCGTCGCCTGCTTGGGGAGTTCGATCCCCCACGGCCCCCTCTTGTCTGGACGATCCATCGGGGGTCCCTTCCATTCCAGCCATTAATAGATTATTATGCAAACCTTTTATTTATACCAACCCCAGCCTCTTTTTTTCTTAGTGTTTCCCATTTGGATATATTCAAGGAAGAGACGGAATGTATGGGTGGGTGAGTGGGAGGGTTAGGATCTCACCCTCAAGGGACAGAGAGACAGCCCCTCCCCAATGTCCCCTCCGTGCAAGGCATCTCCTGCTGGGCTTTTTCTGCGAGGAGACCCCCACCTCTCCCCGGCATCCTGCCTCCACCTGTTAGTGCAAAAAGGGAGGAGAGAAAGTCACTGGGCTCTCCCTTGAGTTTAGCCTCCTCCTACTCAAGGTTCAAGGGGCCCCATTGGCGAAAGCTTGGGAAGGCCTGTCTAAGGCTTCCCGAGAGTCGCCCCACATCCAGATCATCAACCTCCTCCGCAGTCGAGGAAACCCAGTTGGAAGTGTGTCCTGCAGCGTGAATGGGAGACCATTTGGGACAGACCCCTGCTCTTAGTTCGAAATGCACTCCTTCAAACCCAGATAATGAAGGGGGGAAGATTTGGGACCAGGTGAGAGGAAGAGCGTCACAAGAAACCACTACAACTCCACCCACCCTGCTGGGGATTGCCTGCTGCGCCCCAGAGACCCTGGGTGGACAAAGCTGGGTGGGAGGAACACGCCCAGCTTCATCTCTCTGGTAATGCAAACCAGATCGGCCAGGATCAAGTCCTGGATGGCACCCTCGACTGACCTGGCATTTAGCAGCAAGAGTGTCAACCCAGAGGGTTGGTCACCCAGCCTATTGAAACTGTTTAAATTAGGGGAAGGCTTAGGGCCAATCAACATCCTTTCCCTCCCTTCTCTCTTGCATGGGGCTGTGAATGCTTGTCCCCCATCATATCTCCCCCTGACCTGAACAAGTCCTGTAGCTGCTCCCCATTCCCCCCCCTCCATACACACCCTGTGATCTTTACCATCAAAAAACATCCCTCCACAAACAGACAAAGACCAAGTGAGCAGCTTCTCTCACAGAAGAACAAAAAGAAGAAGGGAGAATTTAGGGAGGTGATGGTCCTCTTAAACCTTTTGGGACAGAGGAGTCCCGAGATAAAGCTCTCTCGAAGGCAGGGGCTCAGGTTCCTCAGTTTGACTGCACTGTGGGCACTGCAGAGGTCCTGCCTCGGCAGGTGAGGTTCTTTTTATACTTGCAGGAAGGGAACGAGACTAGTTAGGCAGCCCCCAGGTGCTGCCAAAATCCCAACATCTCCTTCCGCCAGCAGAAATTGAGGGTAGGAGGGAAGAAATGCAACCCATCAGAAGTCCCAGCTTTACACATTATACTGTAAAAGACATGACATGACCACTCGCAGGAGGGTTCTTCAGGTCCATACAGCATTAAAAAAGGGTTCACAGTTCCACTGTTGTACTGTTCAATTAGGAGGTTTTTCCTGATACTGAAAATCTGGCTCCCTGAGTGCATTAATTTGTGTCCTACATGTCTCCTCCATCATTTCTTAAAAAGAGCCAAAAGAGAGTCAGAAAACGAACCCTCACACTTAGGTAGGCAAGAATGAACAAGGGAGGAGGGGGGCTGTCCATCTGAATTTCATTCACTTTACATTAAAATGTTTCTAACTGGAAATTAATCCTTGGAGAATACCGGGTGCTTGACACGGAACTGGAAGAATGAATTACAGTGGTGCCTCGTATAGCGAGGTTAATCCGTTCTGGGTTAACCTTCGCTATGGCGAAACATCGCTGAACGGGATGGGGAAAGCCATTGGAATGCATTAAACATTGTTTAATGCATTCCAATAGGCTCCAAAATTCACTGTTCAGCGATGTTCCTCCATTGCGGCAGCCATTTTTGTGGCCTCGTTAAGCGAGGGGACGGCGCAAAAATGCTGCTCGCGGCCATTTTGCCGCTTCTGGCGGCCATTTTGGAGCCGCCGAACAGCTGATCCACGGCTTCGTTTTGTGAAGATCGGTAAGCGAAACGCTTACCGATCTTCGCAAAGCGATTTTTGCCCATAGGGGCCATCGGTATGCGATCGCATTTGCGATTGCAAAAACTGCCTCGTTATGCGGATTCGTCGTTCTACGGTGCACTCGGTAAGCAAGGCACCACTGTATTCTGCAAGTGTCCTCAGCCCAGACACCTGCAGAATCACTTCGCATTTCTCCTCCTCCTTCTCCCAATCCCCTTAGCCCTTCTCTTATGTTTGCCTTATAAAAATGTATACTTTTGTATCTGTGGCGCACTTCTTCTCTGCATATTTCTGTGGGTGAAGTTTGTGTCTACAGTCAACCCTCAACTTATGAACGGCCCTAGTTGCGAACAATTCAACTTACAAACTGCTCCGATAGGGAAATAAGGAACTCAACATGCAAAATTCCCTCGAGTTATGAACAGAAAAAAAGTGCCCCGCTCCCTCCCCGCCTCTCAGTTGAGGGGAAAAAAAGATCAGAAACTTAAAAATAAATAAAAGAAAGTCACTTACCAGGCCTTGGTAGCCCCCAAACTGCAGGAAAAAGAGCACCAAACAACTAAAAGCCGGGAGCCTGGCAGCCATTTTGTGCTCTTCTCAGCTCCTGCCCCCCCTCTCCCCGCCTAACAGCTGATCGGTTGGCTCTTAAGAGGCTTCCGGAGGCTTGCTCAGCACCTAAAAAGGCTGGGGAATAAAACTGGAAATAAAAAATTGCTGGTTGTTGTGGGTTTTTCGGGCTCTTTGGCCGTGTTCTGAAGGTTTGTTCTTCCTAACATTTTGCCAGTCTCTGTGGCCAGCATTTTCAGAGGACAGCACAAAAAATTGCTGTTTTTCCCTCCTCCCCCCCGGGGAGGCTTCTGAAAGCAGGTGGGAGCTTTCAGAAGAACAAGGACAGGACAGGACCATTCGTAGGAGAGTTCTTGAGGTATATGCAGAGTTCAAATAAGGGTTCACCATTCCCATGAAAGGATTTGACACCTTCAAAGACATCCTGGTTTTCAGGCAAATTGGCTGGATCAGTCCCTGCCCACTCAACTCACCTTCACCTACAGCCCTCAAATCGTTTCTCTGGCGCACCTCCTTTCCCTGCGTGTATTAACAGGGAAGCAAAGTCTGTTGTTTTCTGCTTCCCATCATCCTTACTAGCTAACTTGAATGACTGACTTTTTCTCTCAGAGTCTGTGAGAGGCCCCTCCATCTTCTTCCTCCTCTTTCCCTCCTCGTTGTTTCTTCATTAGCTGCCTTTCCATTTAACATTTTCTGCTTTCCAAAGGAGAGAGAGAGATGGCGATGTATCTCCACATGATATGAAAACTACAAAGCCAGGCACTGTTAGGAAATGTCTTTTCTTTGCTTTATCTAATATTCCTCCAGACCAATTCATTTTCTTTTCTCCAAGACAGTGGTTGAAAGTGAGCAAATCTCCTCTTACTTGTCTCTGGACCAAAAGGGAATAAGTCAATTTCAAATCCCTCTTAACATTTCAAAGGTAAGCCTTTCTTTATTCATACCATAAAATCATAGCATTGGAAGAAATCTGTGAGGCCATACAGCCCAATCACCAGCTCAATGGAGAAATTAAAGTGTATCTGACAGATGGCCCAGTTTTACCTCAGCCTCTAGTTCCACTGTTGTACTGCTGAATTTGTTAAAAGGTTTTTCCTGTTACTCAATCAAAATCTGGCCCCCTGAGTGCATTGATTTGTGTCCTACACTCTGGTAGGCTGAGAACAGATCCTGCCTCTCTAGCTGATAACCTTTCAAGTATTTGAAGAGTGTGTTCATATCACCCTTCACTCTTCTTTCCTGAAGGCTAAACATCCCCAGTTCTTTTAAGTCTCTCCTCCTGGTCTCTGGTTTCTAATTCCTCTCTCAGAGTCTCTCATAGCCCATAGCCTCTCTGAATTACTCAAGCCCCTTGGCCATGACAAGGCAGCAATCTGTAAAGGGAATTTAGACAGTTAGGGTTGCTTAAAAGTTTGAATTATTCTTCTGTAGTGGTTGTCTGTAAAAAAAAAATTAAACAAATTTCCTCATCATCCTCTTGGAACTGTAGCAGCTGCAGTACCTCCCTCCCTCCCTCTTCAGAGGAAAAACAAGCCACCCTGCCCAGAAAGAAGCCAAAGGAATGAAAGGGGGGGGGAGAAAAGAGAGAAAGAAGAAGAAGCCCGTGTGGTGAAGAAAAAGGAAACAGAGCAAAAGGTTTCCTTGGCAAAAGCTCTCCCAAGGCATTTGTCCTCCAGCCCCATCACCACTTGGGCTGAACCATAGGGAAGACGTGGTTTCAAAGTAAGAGTTGTCTTTCTCTTTTAGAACCTGTCACCACAAAGCCTGTGATCCTGATCCCGTTTTTGGACAGAGGTCCCAAGGGAGAAGCCAGGATTTTTCAGGGGTTCTGTGGTGAGATCCAGAGAGAGACCCACAACTTCTGCCAGAACCTGTAGGCAGTCATGCTCTGGAGCCATCTCTGGCAGGGGCAGAAGGGTAGACACTAAAGTAACATGGTCCTGTTCAAGAGGACAGATGCATATCGAGCGAAGCAGGTGGATGTGGCCCAGGCTGGAAGCTTCTCTTCCAGGAGAGCTGGAACAGAAATGGGGCCTATGCAAACTTGGCAAGACCAGATGAACTTTCAGTCATCGAATCCAAGGGGATAATCCCACATACATGGAAAGAGGCACATATTTCATTAATACATAAAGAAGGCACCGAAAAGAACAAAATCAAGAATTATAGACCAATCTCACTATTAAATGTTTATTATAAGATCTTTACAACCATCTGGGCTTCAAGATTAAAGGAAATATTAGGAGAAATAATACATAAAGACCAAACAGGTTTCCTCCCCAAAAGGAAATTGTCATCAAACATAAGGACGATAATAGACATTTTAGAATATTATGAGCTTCATCCAGGAAAGCAGATGATGTTGATATTTTTAGATGCAGAAAAAGCCTTCGACAATGTTAACTGGGACTTTATGATACTGCAACTAAAGGAAATGGGAGTGGAAGGAAAATTCCTACAAACAATTAAAGCAATATAATCTGAGCAAGAAGCCAAGATCAAGGTCAATGGGAATTTAACAGAGAGCATACTGATTGAACAAGGCACAAGACAGGGCTGTCCGTTATCTCCCCTCTTATTCATATTAACGTTGGAAATTCTAAATAGACAAATAAGAGCTAACGAAGGAGTCAAAGGCCTCAAAATTAGAGGAGAAGAATTCAAGGTACAAGCCTACGCAGACGATCTGGTAATAATACTTGAGGACCCGCAGGATGGCCTAAAGGAAGTATTAAGAATTATAGAAGAATATGGTCAAGTAGCAGGTCTCCAAATCAATTATCAAAAAACAAAAGTCATGATCAAAAACATAAAGAAAGAGGAAGTGGGAAAACTGTTGAGAGAAAGTAACTTTGAAGTAGTTCAAAAAATTAAATATTTAGGAGTTATTATCACTAAAAAACCCAGCAATCTAATGAAAGAGAATTATCTTAGAATACAGAAGGAAATGCAGAAGAATCTGGAAGATTGGAGCAAGCTTCAAATATCGTTGATGGGAAGAATTGCAACGATAAAAATGATGATTTTGCCTAAACTATTATTCCTTTTCCAAAATTTACCAATACTTATGAACTTTAAATACTTTAAAGAACTGGATCGCCTGACAACTAAATTTATATGGAATACTAAGAAACCAAGAATAAAACTTAGGCTATTACAGGATTTGAAAGAAAGGGGTGGTGTAGGGCTCCCAAATTGGTTATTATACTATAAGCCGTGTGCAATGACATGGATAAAAGAATGGATAACCCTGGTAAATCAAAGATTATTGAAATTAGAGGGGTATGATTTAAGTATGGGGTGGCACGCATATGTGTGGTATGGGAAAGATAAGGAACAATCTCATTTTACGGAACATATTGTAAGGAAAGCTTTGGGTCTAGTCTGGTATAAATTTCGAGCACAAACATACAAAAAAATCCCACTATGGGTAGCCCCCATAGAGGCATTTTCGATGAAAGTGATGAATCAGAAAGGGATCTTGTTAAATTACAAAGAATTGCTTAATAGAGAACAAAAGTTAAAAAGCAAACAAGAATTAGAGGAACTAGGGGTGGCAACAGACTGGTGGTCGCTGAACAAACTAGAATCAAGATACAGAAAAGATAGAATTTTGGGCTTTTTTGAAGGTGAAGTACAGGTAGATAAACTCTGGATCCACTCTGATGAGAAAATAATAAAGAAAATGTATACATATCTATTGGAATATGAAATGGTGGGCCCAAAAATGGAAAAGTGAGGAGGTACCTACAATGGAGGAGTACCTGAAGAAGCTGTTGGACATTATAGAACTGGACACACTATCAGAAGCACTACGAGATCAACCAAGAGACTATGCAAAACAAAGCTGGAACTTAATATATGTTTGGGCCCAGGGTCAGATATGAAGATAGGGTAATGTGGTTGGTGAACTGTGTTGGTTCTTTTTTCCTTTTTCTTCGTATCTTTTGTTTTTCCCTCAGCTGTGTTTGTTTATGTTTTAATGCTCTCTGAAATTCGGGAAAGTTGATCTGTATCGAGGTCTGAACCCTTGTCCTCAAAGGGGGGAGGGTGTGGGGTAGTTTGTAATCCAAATTAACAATAATAATAATAATAAAAAGAAAGAAAGAAAAGGATGAACCTTCAGAGCATTCTTGTGGTCCTGCCTTTCCAGTCATCGTATGAAATAGGGATCTGAGCAAAGAAACCCATAGCTAGTGCAATCTTTACTCAGAAATAAAGCGTGAAAGTACATGGATTTTTCCAACAACATGCAAGGCGTATGTTGGAAAAGAGATTGCGTCCCAGAGACTTTGTCTTTGGAGTGGTGGGCATGGGGTGCATTTTTAAAACCAGTCCCATTTCCCGTGCAAGCTGGTCCCATCTGCTCTGCTTGGCATGCTTTGGAGGAACACCGGGGTTTTGTCGCCTGGTTGGGGGTTTCGATCCCCTCCACACATTGTCCCCTTGACTGGATGCTCCATAGGGTTCCTTCCAGTCCAGCCGTACCATCTGGGAAGGGATTTTTTTTTCTTATTTTCCATTAGTCTCATCCCAAATGTCTTTCTTTGTGCCTTCCATGCTCTTTTTCCATCTAACTACAGTATTCCATAAAATTATTCTCCCCCATGTAATTTTTCCCACACGTCCTGGCTTTGTAACTGTGTTCTGTGATCTGTCCAGGGAGGAACTGTCTAGTTTCTCTTCATGCCTCCAACTGCATAACTACAGGTATCAGTTTTCAGGGGCACATGTTGTGTCTCCAACCTTAATGCTGAAAACCCAAGTGTGACGCTTGCAGGGGACACCCTGCCTTCCCATATATGTAATGGTCTTAGCTTGGACCAATGGGAGCTGTTGGGAGGCGGAGCCAGAGAAGCCAGAAGGGAGGGGTGAGTCGGAGAAGAGAGGTTTGGTCCTTTGGAGGGAGTTTTGTCAGAGAGAGAGTCAGAGATGAGGGACTGAAGGAGAAGCGAGTCTGTGGTCCTTAGGGTTGGGGTGGCAGAGTCAGGAGGTAAAGGAGACAGTAAAGAGGGTGGAACTGATAGAGAACTGAGAGAGTTAAGAGTGAAACGAGTTACTACTAATCTAATGAATACATTAAAGTCTGTGGAGAATCAATATTATAATCAATACACCTGTCTTGTTCAACTTGATCCTCAGCTTGGACCTCAATCTTCGTAATTGAAGGGTGTTGACAGATGGTGTCAACTGGTGGCAGCGTAAAGTGAGGAAAGGTGCCTTGGGGCCTCGTGAAACCACCTCAGGACCCGTGAGAGGCGCGTCACAATAGCTCGTGGGATACGTAGCGTGAGCCCTTGGTTTGGTGGAACAAGCAGGGGCCACGTCGGTAAATGTCACAATGCTCAGAAGCCAAAAGCTTCCACGCTGCAGGGCTGACTTGCCCTTGCCTCGGCTTCCATTTTAACACCGATGGTCTGAAGGCCGTGACCTTTGCCTTTGCATCCCCTGCTGTTCCTTTCCTCCCTCCCTCTCTCCGCTCCCCCTTCAGGCTTCATTTCTCCCGGGCGTTTTTGGGCTCCCCTTCCCAGCAGGGCTCGGCCATTTCTGCACCACCAGAGAATCTCAGCCAAACCCCGAAAGGGAGGTGGGAAAAGGACTGTGTGGGCCCTCCTCCCTTCCTGGCCCTGTTTTCCTTTGGGACTCCCTGCATCAGGCCTCTGGGGTCATGGCGGTGGGGGGAACGGTGATCATCCTTTCTGCCTGACTGGCTGCAATCTGTATCCCCCCTGTATTGCCTGCACCCCAGAAGTCAGAAGGAAGGTAGGTGTGTGTGTTTGTGGGGGGAGGAGGAAGAACCCTACTGGGGAAGAGGGGAAGATGGGCGGGGAGAGAGAGACAGAGGAATAAGAAGCCAAGGGGGTCTCCCAAGAGAGAAAGGGCGTTTCTGAAAGGCATCGCCTGCATTTAGGGAAAATAACCAAGCCTTTGGGGGGGGGACGAGGGAAAGGACACCCGCCCCCCTCCTCTCAGCAAAGCAACAGCTGTTTCTGTGTTTATCTGTGTGTGTTAGAATTTACCCTAATCTCTCTTTTGTTCCCATCCTTCTTCCACGCCACCTGCATTTTGGAAACACCCCCCCCCCCAATCTGGAAGCTGACCCCGCGCCCCCCCCGCCAGCGGAAGCTATGGCACCACCCCCCTCCCCGGTCTGGAATCTGCCCCTCCCCCCGCCCACTCCGCCAGCGGAAGCTATCATCGTTGGACAGAGGGGGAAGGGAGAGGGAGGGACGGGGTAGAGCGTCTCCTCACCGGAAGAGGAAGCAGAGTACGCTTGCCACCCCCGCTTCCCCCCACCGTCTCTATGGTCCACTGCGAACGCGCTGATCCAGGCGTTACCTGCTTTTGGAAGGCGGTGAGCCTTTGGGGGGGGTCGAGGAGGAGGGGGGGTCGTGGAAGGCTTTGTCTTTGGAGGGGCGGCGGTGGGGGTGCATTTATAAAACGACCCCCAGTCCCCTGCAACTCCGGTAGCCATCCGCTCCACTTGGCATCCTTTGCAGGAACGCCGTGGTTGAGGATTCCCCCCCCCAAAAAAAAATACACACACGGTGACTTTTACCATCAAAAGACATCCCTCCACGAGGAGACAAAGACCAATTTAGCAGCTTCTCCCCTGAACTGGCTGGGAGTGGGGGAAAATATCTCACACAAGAACGAAAAGGAGGAGGGGGGCATTTAGGGAGGCGGTGGTGCTTTAAAACCTTCAGGGAGGAAGGAGTCCCGAGACTTAAGTTGGGGAAGGAGCCCCTTTATAAAACTCTCTCGGAGGCGGTGGTTCGGGTTCCTTAGCTTGACTCTGTACTGTGGGCACTGCAGAGGACCTGCCTCGGCAGGTGAGGTTCTTTTCATTCCTGCAGGGAGGGAACAAGACGAATCAAAAAGCCCCCCAGGTGTTGCCGAATTCCCGACTTTTCCTTCCGTCACAGAAATTGAGGGCAGGAGGGAAGAAATGCAATTCGTCAGAAGTACCATTATACTCTGAATGGGAGCAGAAGCCGTTTGGGACAGAACTGGCCTTCCAAATGTGCTTCGTCGCACCCGGAAAGTGTGTGTGTGTGTGTGAGGGAAATGTGGCACCAGGTGAGGGCAAGAGGATCACGAGAGACCACTACAACTCCCCTCCTTCCTCCACGATCCCCGGAACCTTGAACTTCCCCCAATTTGGGTTGGGAAGCCCCGCCCCGCCCCCTCCGCCTCTGGGAGCTTTGGGGAAACAGAGAGGGAGGCAAGGGGCAGAGCGTCTCCTCGCCGGAAGAGGAAGCAGGGGGCGCTCTGGGCGACGTGCTTCCTCCTTTCTTTGTCTCTGATCAGCTGCGAACTTGCTGGGATGGCGGTTGGTCTGACCGTTTGCTGCCGTTGGTGAACCCACAGGAAGGCGGTGAGGCTTCGGTTGGGGCGTTTGAAGGAGGAGGAACGGGGGGGGGGTCGTGAAAGGCTTTGCCTTGGGAGGGGCGGGTTGTGGGGGGGAATTTTTGAAGCGAGCCCCATTCCTCGTGCAACCCTGGTCGCCAAACGCTCATTGGTAAGACTGATTTGGGGAAGTTTCGATCACCGTGCTGTGCAGGAATTCCGAGGTTGAGGGTTCGATCTCCACAGGGTGCCTC